GGTGCCCACAAACCAAGTTAAATCCCCCCCCCCCCCACACACACACACACACACCGAGACCCCACACTCCCAGGTTGCTCCTGCCTCCTCCCCCTGACTAGACACCTATCCCCAGTCTCTTCCTACACCCTCTCTCAATCCTTCAACCCCTCCTGCACCACACCTCCCACCCAGATCCTGCACCCATCCCTATCCCACGCACTGGCAGTTATGTCCCACACATGGACCCCTCATTTTTGTCGCCAGCCCCAGAGCCTAAGGGGCCCACAAAATCCACTAACCCTGGAACCCCATAAAAGTTAATCTGGCCTGAGGCCTTAAACCTCCCCCGTTACCATAGAACTGGAGTGCCAGAGGAGTGAGGTGTCTCTGTTGGAGCCACAAGAGTAAGGGTTGGGGTTTTTTGGAGGGGTTAGTTTTTTGCATCTCCCCCCGTTACCATAGAACTGGAGTGCCAGAGGAGTGAGGTGTCTCTGTTGGAGCCACAAGAGTAAGGGTTGGGGTTTTTTGGAGGGGTTAGTTTTTTGCATCTCACTTGTGTGGTCCCCGACTTATTTTTCTGTGGGTCAGTGGCCTCCTGTCCCAAAAAATGATCCCAGCCCCTCCCATAAATAAAGACAATGTTGAAACGTTTTGTGTTGGACATAGTATTTTATTTAAAAATGAAGCCGGGCCAAGCCCTCATCTGGCCACAACATCATAACACCACTGCACCCCCCCACACACACTACCCGTGAGCCCATCAGACACCTGAAACCCCTGCCCTGCCCTGAGCCCCCCACATCCACAAACTCCTACACCCCCCACATCTCTAGTCTTGTGCCACAACATGCCTGTACCACACACACTTTGCAAACCTATTTCCTGAGTCCATCGTACACCTGATAAGTCTGCAGCTTGCTCAGCACCCCAACCTTCCACCTGACCCCAACACTCTCCAGCCTGGAGCTCCCCTCCCCATGCCAGCATCTCCTTCTCCACCTCCTCCTGCATCCAAATTCCCTCCTAGAGCTTGCACCTCTCACCCCTTCCCACACCCAAATCCTTCATTCCGACCGCAGAGCCCACACTTCCTGTCTCAACCCAGTGAGAGTGAGTAAGGGCTGGGGACAGCAAATGATGGAGAGGAGGAGAATGGAGAGGGCAGGCCCTCAAAGAAGGGGTGGTGTTTTAGGGAAGGGATGGGGTAGATCTTGTCTTACCCTGACATTTAAAAAATGATCTTGGATGTAAAAAGATTGGAGAAGACCACTGGCTAAGATTAAGAACTACACAGAAAAGTATATATAGCTATTACACAAAGAGAACTTACTAAATCATGACCAACAAATACCAATAACCACCACAGGTTGTAAAAAATACACTAAGGGGAGTCAGGGGTACCTCCATCATTATACCTGCACATAGCGATGAGAGGAAGCAGAGAGCACTTCAGTGTTCGCATCAGGCATTGCTGTTGGAAAATTTTCCTACAACTGCTTAGCATGTGTACACACCATGAATAGAAGGCACATGTGCAATCATTCAAAGAAGGACTTGCAAACATCTTTCTTATTTCTAGAATAGCCATTAACTTTGCAGTAAGATAAACTGATAGTTCATGGAGAAAAAAGTAGGAACTCAGAAAACCATTGTTACCGTTTTTTAGTAAAATAATTATCTAATTTTAACCACATCTCAAAGACATCTCAGCCATTTTGGTATCCATATAAATACATGCTTATTTATTCAGCTCATTTCCATGCCCTTTCATTTGCATTTTTTCAGAACCTATACAGCCTTAAATTTATAAATAAACTTTAATTCTTTTTATAGAATTTTGACTCATCCAAATAATATAAATACAATTTTCATCCAAAACCTCTCAACTTGCAAAGTACCTCTACAGCTTTTTGTAATTTTTCTTCAAGGTTTTTCTTTTCTTGTTCAAGAACTTGAATATTTTCCTATGATAAAGAAAGAAAGTTTGTTTAGATCTTGTGATTTCTTAATGTTTATCATTCAAATCTATGAGTCCAACTCTGGATTTATATTTATTTGTAGTTAGTAACTAATATCTAAGTTTAAAATCTCTTGATTTTTTCTTCCACAATGATAGCTATACTGGGATGACTAGAAAAGCTATAAAGAAACCTTAGAAACAACACTGATCCTGTAGCACCTTAGGGAATGTCTACACTGCAGCATTTTTTTTGAAATAACTAAAGTTATTTTGAAATAATGAGGTGAGCGTCTACACAGCAAGCCCGTTATTTTGAAATAATTTGGAAATAATGGGCTTCTTATTCCAAAATCTGTAACCCTCATTTCAGAAGGAATAATTCCTATTTCAAAATAGCTATTTCAAAATAGGTTGTGTGTAGACAGCACAGCTGTGGTTATTTTGAAATAAGTGGCCTCCAGGTCTTCTCACAGGTGCCCTGGTGGCCATTCTGTTCACATTCATCAGACACAGGAATGTAGCCATTTATGGCTGGATGGTAGACAGTCTGGACCAGAAGGGACACATGCACACCCAGGAGCAGGTGAAGGTCAAGGAGCAGAGGCAGGCCTACACAAGGCCAGGGAGTGTAGGTCCTGCTCAGGGGCAGTACTCCAGACCTGCCCCTATTTTAACCAGCTCCACTGAATTCTGGGGGTGTCAGTCCCTTCCCATCCTTTTTGAGGACTCTGGGCTGGAGATACCTGTTATCAACCTCCCAGAGGGCATGGCTGTGGACGAGGAGGACAAGGAGAAGGTGCGGGAGGAAGAGGAGGAAGAAGAGGAGGCCAGCCTAGACATGATTCCCACCAGCCAGGAGGTCATCCTCACCCTGGAGCTGGTACTTCCTTCCCAAGATGTTGTCCAGGGATCAGACAAAGACAGGGAAAGCCCATCAGGCGATTCCATTATTTTCCCTAGACACACATGGGGGAAGGCAGCGGGTGGCAAGGGGTTGTGCACTCCTCGCTCAGCCTTCTTGGCCTGGGGATCACCTATGCACATAGCTGCACATGGAGCACCAGTCCAGAGCACACAGCTGCAATGAAGCTGCCATGCAGGAACCTTGCACTCCTGCTCACAGGGTTCATGAACAGGCCTTCTTTATTCCCAACCCCGTGGTGGGATACCTTCCCACCACAAGCCATCACTACAGAGGATGTGGTCATAGAGACACACACACAGCAGTGCTGCACACACCACATGGGCATGCCTGCATGCTTGGGGCAGCATCTACTCCCGGGCATGCATCCCTGTAGTGGCACAAACAGACTCCGCCAGCCAGTAGGATTGAGGGAATGTATTGCTTCTCCAAGGATGCAGCACAGCACAGATGTAATCTAGTTACAGGGCCAGGCCTAGGATGCCTCAGCCCCCCTTGAGATGGGGGAGACTGGGCCCCTAAATCCTAGGCCCCCTTGCTTAGGCTGCTTCCTCCATGATTCTGGACAGAAACTACCCTCTCTTTCAGCCCTGTCCCACAGCCAGGGTTTGGACCCCGCCTTCCTCCCTTTGTCTCTCTCCGGAAACAGCAGCTGAATCTGGACGCCAGTTCCGACTTACATACAAATTCAACTTAAGAACAAACCTACAGTCCCTATCTTGTACGTAACCCGGGAACTGCCTGTAATT